AGGCAATCGTTCGATGAGCTGAATTGCACAAAACGCATGATCGCACCGGCTAGTCTGGTGCGCGTTACCGTTTATATTTTTTATCCACAAGTTCAGACTTTTTTGACTTTGCTTTTATTCACAGACTCAGGTTTGCTTTAATTTGCTTCTCTTTATAGTGCTGTGTTCTGTTTTTCCCTTCACTGCTGTTTCCAGTTCTTGCCTCGAGCTTCTGACTTCCATCCTCGTTCCTCTTCTCTATCCTGTTCCCAAGCGCTGCCCGCAAAACAACATCTGGGCTTTTTTCCATCCCACTATAACAGCACTGTTCAAGTAAGCGGTATTTCGCCCTTTCCCTAACACGAGTATTCATGGCAAAAATCAAAAGAGTACACTTCCTCATCCTTTCCATCCATCACGCTTCCCTCTCTCCCCTCCAGAAGTGCGCGACCTAGCCAACCGACAAAGGGTCTACACCGTATAGCCATTAAATCCACCTACCCCGGCTGCTCGCTTCCTCGAACGAAACCCGCAGAACATCATTCTCCTCCCCTCCCCCCTCGCCTCATGCCTGCCATATTCGAATTCCCGCCACTCAGCGTGGTGTAGTCCTACCCGCCATCACCAAAAAAATTTTTTGCAAGTCGTGTGTGACGCCGGTCGAATGTGGTCAAGCCGAGTTTTAGTAATTGTCTGGATTGTTGTACCTGTGGTAGGGGGCGTGTGGTGTTGACCCTGTGGTGCGCGTATGTTAGTGCCGCTGGTGTCTGTTCTGACCGTGTGAGTCGGGTCGGAGTTGCACGTGGTGCAGTGTAGGTCATTCAACGTAGAAATTTATTATTGTCCTGAATTCCTAATTTCTTTTCAAACATTTCGCAATCTCTTTGATGGTAGGGGCTGGGCCGCATTAGCGTCAATCTGGCAGTGGTAAGCAGCGTCGGACGATATGCGGCTCAGAATCCAGTCGTATGCAGTGGGGTTAGGAGGCTTGCATTTGCCCCACACACTCAGCCATATTGGATACTGCGAAGCCATTGGTGAATCCAGGGGAGGGGTGAGGTGGAGAAAGGAGAGCGGGAAATGGGTCTTTCGCTCCCCTCCCCCCCTTCCTCCCAGCAGCACAGGCACCAATGCTGCGGAAACCCGGATCTAAAGCTAAAACTAAAGCCTAAAGTAATTCTAAGTAGCAGTATTACAACTCTATACCGACCTTATGCATAGTTCC